AGCAGTATATTTATATTTATATTTATATTAATATTATAGGCTTATGTAGCCACCCAGCATAGCAATAACAATAAACAATAATAACACCATAATAGCAAAGTACAGCTATATATTTCTATCCTTGCACGTCCTCCTTGCTTCTACTACATGCCCTCACTTCTCTCATTTTCAGGATTTATTTATTTATTTAAATAATTTGCATGGCCACCCTTCTCACAACAGTGACTCTGGGTGGCATACAAAGATTAAAACCCAACAGTTAAAACAATAAATAGAAGCAATAAATAAGCAATAAATGGATCCATCCAAGCACAACTTTCTTGATCTTCCCCTTCCTCTCAACCCATTCACTCTTCCTTCATAAATATGTTTTGCAGTTCAGTCCATATTCGTTCTTTGTGTGTGAACAAACGAATACCCTCCTTTCATACTTTAGTATCCCATCCAAGTTTGTTCAGCACCCATTCATTCTTAATCCTGCCTCTTGCTTCCCCAATTCTTCTGCATTCAACATTTATGTTTCCCTTGAAATACCCAGCTCTCACTTCCGTATAACAAAGTGGGGGAGTCCTGCTCTCCTACACAGCCATTTTTGCTTCTTTTGACAAACATTCCTCACAAAGGACCACATACCCCACTACTTTCTACCAGTATTTGCACATCTTAACATTTCTTCATTTTTCCATCTGTAATAAACAATTAAATGCTTTGACTTGCTCCACTTTTTTGCCACTGATGTATATAACCTGTAGTTACTCAGTTTTTCTGGTCTAACCCAACTAACGTCGTCTTGATACATTGATTTGCAGATCAGTATTCCTTCTTGCATTATAAAAAATCTATCAAGCCTTTGCTGCAAACCTTTTCACTCTCTTAGCCAACTGCACCCATATTTTAACATTCCCCCAGGTTTACCAGCAGCCTTAACGTTTTTTGAACACTCTCACACCATTTTTATGACTTCCTTTTCATCATTTCTTTCTTGGACAATCACGTTCACAGCAGTAATTTCAGTTCCACTTTTTGACATACTGCTTTTGTTCCCCCACAAATCTCTAAAATACCCTTTCCAACATGTTAGTGTGTGCAAGGTGGATGTCTCTTGCAGCATGCCTGGGACCCATATTCACCCTCACATATACAGCTGTATTTCTCTCTCCATCTCCTTTTTATTTTCATGCTTGTGTAGCAGGAATAGCTTTTTCTTTGGCACTCGGTTTTGCCCCTCAATGGAATTGTTTGCAATTATGCCTTTAGTATCCTTTGTTTAACAACTCCACCCAGCTTCAGCTGCTTTTCCCCTTAGTTTCTCCTGCTACGGATTCCTGTTTATCTCTGCTTTGAGTTTATATACACATTCTTTTCCCAAAAGGCACAGTATTTGGTTCTGCACATAATGGCAGTCAGCAATTTCTGGTGGCAAAATTAAAAACTCTGCAACCTTTTTTTTACCCAAATATACTCAGTAAGCTGAGCCAGTAAGAAGCACTGGTTCCAGCTGTAGTGTTTTTTCCGTCCTGGCGCTTTGCATGTTATGGCTAACTGGTATGTCCCTTTTGTCAGCCGGTGAAAAAGAAGAAAATCAAGCGAGAAATCAAAATCCTGGAGAACCTGCGAGGTGGCCCCAACATTATTACCCTTGCAGATATAGTGAAGGATCCTGTGGTGAGTCATTTTGGTGGGTGGCTTGTGGATGGGCCGAGTCAAACAGCCCCATGAGTACATGGTCGAAAGTGGTCAGGGTGGCTGTTTGGATTGCTCAGTGGAACCGGCTTCTCCAGGGAATCTCCCACTGAGTAGCAGATCCTGGAGGCAAACGGGTGGTGGAGACACACTCAGTTTCCTAATTTGGCTGGTCATAGATGGGATCTGACTGTAGACTTGACTGGGTTTTGACCTGATCCAGCAGCTAGTATGTTTTGAGGGGGGCACGGGGGGTAGAGGAAATTACATCAAAACAGGTATTTGTTTTGAGATCCAAAACCGCAGGATTTTTAGGGGTGTGTCCAATGTGCCTGTCTTAGATGGACTTCCGTGTGTGCATGACGGCTTGAAGCTATGTATCCAAATTGCATGGCTCACTACTTTCGACGACAGTTTTTGGAGGAACTGTGGAAGGGAATAACATTCCGCAGCATTTGTAGCTTAGATGCCTTTCCAGGAAAGATGGTTTCTGAAGTGCCAGACTGTTGTGTTTCTGGAGGTGTGGCCATCATAGTCTTCTCCCATGAAAACAGTCTTGTGGTATCTTAAGGACTAACCTATTTATTTTCACACCAACTTTTGTGTAACCTCAATCAGGTTCATCAGATGCACGGAGTATAGCTTGCGAGTTGCCAACAGCTCTCCCGACATTCTAAGCTAGGGGTGGGGAGGACAGGCAAAGTTGTTTACAAATACACACTACTTTTGTCATTTCGAATAATAACCAAACTGGAGAACCTCCAGGACTTTGTATTCATCAGGTAGCTCAGCAGTTCAGGCATTTTTGGTCACAGGATACTAAAATGCAAATTCATCTCCTGTTTCGCTTCTGTTTTTTCCACCAAGCCTGTTCTGAACTGCTTAATCAGATCGAGGCCTTGGAATTAGATGAGCTTCTCTCGGTAGTGCAGCCTCCCCCCAACCTTTTCCTGGCCTCTAGAAATGTCGGCTGGCAGTTGGTCTCTCAGCAGCCTTTAATGTGGCCTGATAAATAATGCATTTGAAGAACCCCAGGTGACTGACCTCCTTTCTTCCTCCTTCTAGTCACGGACCCCCGCCTTGGTGTTTGAACACGTGAACAACACAGATTTTAAGGTACCGTTTTTCACCCATCAGAGCGTGCCAAGTTTTTAATTTCTTGGAAGCCTGCTTAAAGGGGTGGGGTGGGGAGCAAACAAGCTTTGATGGGGACGTGGGGTGCAAGGTGGTGATGGTGAAGCTGGTAGCCCATCAAAGATCTGCTTTTGCTTTTTGGAGGACTCCCATGTTCTGGTTTTAGTTGTGAATAGATTGAGTAAAAATATATTTTAATGACAGAGACATAAGAACTTAAAACATTTTTGATGCAGTGGGTCCTGTCCTGCTCAGCTACTTCCGCTAGATAAAGTGATTTTTTTTTCAAATAGGTGAGAAGACCACCAACTTGTTATGCACACAGAAGGCCACTTGGCAGCTTCTATTATATTTCTGTCATTGGTTTTCCACCTCTGGTCTATGAGGATACTGCAGGTAGACGGCATCAAAATCATTTTTGACAAATGCCCCAAACCTCTTCCTGTTTTGCCATTTTTGAATTTTCGGGCCAGAACACTAAAATTTCACTAGGCAAGACAGTCTCATGTGACTATTTTTTTTAAGGTGTAATTTGGGGTCCTGTGGATGCCATCAGTCCTTTTTGCCTTACAGGCACTCTAGTCACCCACTCGGTGACAGGGTCCTTGGAGAAAAGGTTGAGACCCCTCACCCAATATACATTACACATCCTCTGGTGGGGTTGCACACATCGTTTTCCCTCTCCCCTCCTTTTTCTTCCTACCCCACAATCCCATATTGCAAGGGAGAGATGTTGGGGAGTATCCCAAGCAAGTCAGCCAACAAGTTGGGGAGAGTTAACAAGGTGCACTTTATCAAAAACAGACACTTCTCCAGAAAGAGGAAAGATATTTGGATAGAAATAAGAGGAGAACGTACAGTACTGTAAGCGTAGAGCAATTCCCCAACCAGCATGTGCCCGAGTAACATCTGTGGTGGCTCTGGAGATTGATTGCTATAGATGCTCTTTCCTGTGTAATGAAGTTTTAATACACAGCTTGGATCCTTGTTCTCTCCTAGACCATCTTCTTCCACGTAAAATCCTCTCACCCTCCATAATCTAGCCAGGAGAAGATGCTGGGTGTCCAGTGCCCACTCTGTTAAGAAATTGGGCTGGGAGTCAGAGGCATTTGCACTGCAGCCCTCTCACTCGGAAAACTGGTGAAGACAGTTCTCTTCTACAGGGATTTGGACAGGAAGATTTTAAATTAGGACAGTAACCAATTCAGTGAATGTTTTTAACTGTAGATTTTAAGCCACCTAGAGCTGCACAAGGGACTGGAATGAATACATACATACAGTGAAATTAGGGAAACAAATCCTACCAGCTCTTAGTAACTTCCTTGTTAGATTAGAAATTGGAAGGTTGCAGCTCTATTAACGTTGACCATGTTGTGTTAATTTCCCACAGCAATTATATCAAACGTTAACAGACTATGACATTCGGTTCTACATGTACGAAATCTTGAAGGTGAGTTGACTTTTGTTAAGGGTTTGAGAGGGTCCAAAAAGTGGCTGAGAAGGAGCTGTCAGCAGTTGTGGAGCCTGAAGGCTTTAATCCCTCATAATGTCTTTCTTTGGCTGAGGAATTAAGCAGCTTTCTTCAGGTTAACATAACCTGACTAGATGGATCAAGATCTCTCTTGCTTCAGAACTTCTTTTTTTCTTTTTGTATGAACTGCTATCACTGCTTAATAGCATTGTAACCGATAGAATTTAGGAGTAGCAGGAGTTCTCTTAAGAGTTGCCACTATTTTAACTTTATAATCCATCCTTCTGACCTTTCGTAAACTGATTAAGACAGTGTTTCTCAACCTTTGCAACTTTAAGATGTGTGGACTTCAACTCCCAGAATTCCCCATGTTGGCTGGGGAATTCTGGGAGTTGAAGTCCACATTGCTTGAGAAACACTGGCTTAAGATCTTGTTCTCTTGCCTTCTTGTTCTCCCAGGCCCTGGGTTAGAATGGGCATTTAGCTCCTTTGGTTGGTTACTGGCTTTTTGACTTTTGGTTCTGGGTAGCTGTCTTTTTTTTCTTCTCCTCTTGATGCATTTTGTTTTAATTTTTATCTATAAGCTCCCAGAGTCACTTTGGAGTTGAGTGACCTCAAAATTGAAATAATTGTAAAAAATAAAGATAAATTTGCCACTTATCTTCTGCTTGAATACTTTAAAACAAGACGTTAAAGATAAGTCCACAGGACCTGCTTAATTCCTCCTCCCTCCCAAAATACATTATAGCTCCTTCTCTGCTAAATTATTCAGCCACTCTCATCATTCCTTTAATATCTATGCTGTTACAGGTAGTCCTCTTTTAGCGACTGCCTTGTCTAGTGACTGTTCACAGTTACGACAGTGATGAAAAAGTAACTTTGTGACCAATCCTCACATTGATGACCTTTGCAGATCTGTAAAGCAAAAGAAAGCTGAAGTCAGATCATAAGCACAGTCACGGTTTCGCTTAGCAACTGCTTCACTTAACGACTGAGTTGCTGGTCCCGAGTGTGGTCGCTGAACAAGGACTACCTGTAGTGTAAAGATGGTGGAGACGGTAGGAAATGGAGTGCAATGCAGAGAACCAAAACAAAACATAGGCTTTGTAATTTGTCAGTGATAACAGCCAAGGGGATGGCTAATGGTAGTCAGAGGAAATGTAGAAAATAAAGCTATATATATTAGCAGGATTGAGTTGGGAATTCGGGAAGGAATTTCAGTGGGGAAGCTGCAGAAGTTTGCTTTAGTCCAGTGTGAGAGGGAACGTGAAACAATGTAAGGTGGTGATGCTTGGTTTGTCTTGCCCATCGGAACCAGCACTTTTAAGTGAAAATAAATAGGTGTGATCCTCAGGTATTTGCTAACAGGGCTGTCTTTTCCCATTTGCCCCCAGTCCATTTCATTATGTCACCTTAATGCACTTGGTGGCACCCTTGTTGGCTTAGCAACAGTGAACATGGTAATCAATGAGGCATCAGAAGATACAGGCCGGGTCGACTAAGATGCTGGTCACCACCACCAAGAGTGGTATGTTGACAGTGGCAAACTTGAAATCTTGGTAAGATGGTTGGAGAGGATTCATCCATATCACTTGCAAACAGAGGCCCAAGGAATCCTGCTGTGGCCAGAATCACAGTGAAGAGGTCAATTCCGAATCTGTGACTTCCAATTTTGGGTCAGTCTGAGAGTCTAGCTCCAGGATACGACTGACTTGCACTCAGTGTATGCCGTCTTGCTCTGCACAAGCACCTCCTTGTGAGTTACATGTACTGTTGGGACATGAGGCAGAGCTTCTGTGGCTGTACCAGGTGGTTGTGGCTTTTCCAGGTCCCTGGTTGCCTAGTGTCCAGCCCTGGACTGGGCGAGTGAATCCCCTTTAGGCTGGAAAGCCTCTTGGGGGCTTATGTACTTAACATGTAAGAAGAAAAAATCAGAATGCTGATTATCAAGTACTTTTTTGCCAAATATAAAGTTCTTGTTGTAGTTTAATAGCAGTAATCCAGAAACATGCACAGAGGAATAGCAAGGCTTTATAAAGAGCAAAAGTGTGCCAGATATTTGGGTTTATGATATAAAAAGATCGGGACCTCTTCATTTTTATCAAATATCTGGTTAGGGTCTGTAAAAGATCTAAAGACAAGAGAAGAATGCCACTGTATGGAGATGCTAGCCTGGCATAGAAATACGGGACTTTCAACTCATTTTTTACTGAGTTAGGTTTCAGGTGAAATGTTCATCCTAACATCTCTTTGAACTGGATATCTTAGATGTCTGTGAGTCTGATAAATTTAAAAGTTTTGATCACCTGGCACTTTGAACAAAGGATTCTGGCTTTTGGGCTGGCCTTGTTCAGAATGTCAACCTGTGCGTTGTAATCCATCACAAGGTTAGCTCCTGAGTGCATCTAAAAATTAAGGCCTTCAAAATACACGGCTGGAGAGGCTTCATCCGTTGTACCAAAATTTAATTTTTCAGTCTGCCTGATCAGAAGTGGCTCTTTCATTGCAGTTGTGCAGATGACCCTGGGAAGTGGTTCATTTGATCTCTTCCCTTTTCAGCTCCAACCAAAGATCTTTTTCATTTAACCTACCTTCTGATTTGGTCTGAGAAGATCTTCATCTCTGGCCATCTTGTAGTCTATCTTGTTAATTTGTTCTGCTCTAGGATTTGTTTTATGTGATACGACGTTCATATATGAAATCCCCTTTCTGACGCTGCTCTTGTGGGTGTCATTGGGGTGTCTTTCTCTTCTCCAGGCTCTGGACTATTGCCACAGTATGGGGATCATGCACAGAGACGTCAAACCTCACAACGTCATGATTGACCACGAGCATCGAAAGGTAAGGACCGGCAGACCCTGACTGTTCACACCCTTTCCCCTCTCCGATTCCACAAAAAATCCTTCAGCAGGCTGATACATTTTGCCACTTACACTGTGGGCCAGGTCTTGCTAAAAACAGATTAGGAAAAAAGAAGAAAAGGGAAATGTGGTAGATTTAGTCTGCGCAAAAGTGGTTTTGGCTTTTGGACTTGACGTATTATGAGCATCTTCTAGGTGGTATTGCTTCATCTAGCAGAGACACCCTGGGCATCTGTCATGGGCACCCTGCACATTCTGGGGCAAATTCCAGAGTTCACCCAGGCCTGGCGGACCTTATAGTGAGTGATGGGGAGATGAGAATAAATGCCAGAATATGCCCCTGGTGGTGTCATATTGTGGGGAAGATAATCTTTCAGGAACATTCATTCCCCTTAATTTAAGAAGTATGCTTGGCTTTTAAGCTTAGCTACTCAAACTTCAGCTTATCACAACGATAGAACTTAAAATACTTCTTTTATTCAATAACGTGCCTACCACTGATTTCAGCAAATTGGCTCACAGCAGTTTACAGCAAAAACGTTGAATGGCTTGAGGGTGAGGTCACGATGTAGAGGCTGGGGTGGGTTGTACTTGTCTGTTGTACTTTATTTGATTCTCGCAGCAGCCTGCTTGGCTGTTGTTATTCATCTGGGAGTTTTGAGGCAAAGCTATTAATTGCTTTTGGTTTTTTTAATCAAGCAACATTGCTCTTCATAGTTTTGAACCTAGTTCCTGGTGTTAAACAAAAAATTACTCTTATACTTGCTTTAATCTCTTCAATAGTTCAGTTGTGTCTTTTAACCGTGGCTGTTTCATATCTGAGCTGTCTTCAATTATTACTTGTTTCTGCTCAGTTGAATCTTACAGCTTTTCTTCGTTTCATTTACTTCTGATTTTGTTGTCTCTTCCAACATAAGACTGGCAGAGTCCCTGAAAGTTGCTGACCAAGAAAAAGCATTTTCTCCCTCCCCCTTAACTTCTCCTTTTGTTTTTAGCTGAGGCTAATAGATTGGGGCTTGGCTGAATTCTATCATCCTGGTCAGGAATACAACGTCCGCGTGGCTTCCAGATACTTCAAAGGGCCGGAGCTCCTTGTAGACTATCAGGTAATTGCGGTCTTGGTGTGGGACAACCATGATTCTGGGGGAAAGGGATGGCCGGAACCAGCAGTTGGGCTGCTCCAGTAGAACACAGGAAGGAAAGTAAAATGAAAAAAGAATGATATCCTCAGCAGGGTGGGCCTGCTCTTTGTTGCCCCAGGCAGCTGTTGGACACCTTCAGTTAGTCTCTGGTGGCAGCTTCTCCCTCCTTCAGAAAACCCTTGCTTGGTACTCCCAAGGTGGGGAGAGGCAGTTTCTGCCTTATTTTTCTTCGGACGGCACAGTTTCCCCTACGATGGCTGGTTTACGAAGTGGCCCACGGCTCAGCTGGGGGAGCTGTGGCCGGAAGGACTGGGAGTAGGTGGCTCTGATGATGCTCTTTCGGACTCATCCTTTGTCTTTCATTTACTTTCTCCTTCAAGTATCTAAAGAGAAGGAACAGTTGGGTCTCATCGCTGGTTAGGGATGCGCAGCTTTTATCAGACAAGGCATGTGACAGGCTACACTGGAAAAGCAGACAGGACTCCCCCACCCCCCTGAAAGGGATTCCTAAAATCTATCTTGGCAGGTGCAGGAAGTGGCTTCACTGGAACGTCCACAGCCCCCCCCCCAAAGTCAAGATGGGGCAGGGCTTTAATCACACAGTGATGGCCTCCATCTTGACTTTCCCCCACCCCACAGGTTGTCCTCTTCAGTTCACTGAAACCCTGCCATAAATATTGGACGTGATTACTGCGTCATTGCATTGCGTTATATTTCTGAGTAAGCGCAAAAATTACGGAGGCTTCTTGCTGTGTGGTGCAGACTGTTCACTTCTCCGTGAGAACTTAGCCCATCCTAGTTGGGCATTCTCCTCGTTGGTCTGCAAGCGAGCCAGGCTGACGGGCTTCCTTTCGTCTCCTACAGATGTACGACTACAGTCTGGACATGTGGAGTTTAGGGTGCATGCTAGCCAGCATGATCTTTCGGAAGGAGCCCTTTTTCCACGGTCATGATAACTATGATCAGGTGAGAGTGCGACAAGCCAGAACCCAGGGCCTGAACATTCAGCATGATGTCCACCTTGGCAAGGGATGGGCAGACAGACAGACCCATGGAACGTTCTCCTCTGAGGCTGCTTCATACCATTGTCAGTGCAGCATTTGAATGGGTGTCTGTGGGTCTGATACCTGTAGGTGAAAATGCTCATTTCTGCGTGTGGCTTTTTGGGTTCCTTCAGCATAATTTGGCCTGGCTTACACAGCTGGATATGTTGCAGAGGGTTTAGCTGTGGCTTATTGAATAAACCTCAATTGGCGGGGGTTTGCACAACAACCTAGAGCCGGTTTGGTATAGTGGCTAAGGTGCTGGGCTAGAAACTGGAAGACCTCAAGTTTGAGCCCTGCCTTTGGCATGAAAGCTGGCTGGGTGACTTTGGGCCGTAACTCCCTCTCAGTCCAACCCACTTCACAGGGCTGTTGTGGGGAAAACAGGAGGTGGGAGTGTGATAAAGTTGAGATATAAATCAAAGAAATAAACAGGCATGTTTCATGACAAACCATGAGTCACACCCACAGTGGCTGGACTGTGCACCGTTCTAAGCCAACCCTGGAAAATATAAGGATAGTCTTGAACGGAGCTTGGTTCCTGGTGACTACAGGTGTATATGCAGAGGATATATTTAAAATCAGGTTGTTCAATATCCTGCATGTTTACACTTGGGAAAATCTTGCCCAGGGAGGTTTCAGCTAGAGACTTCTGATTACTGAATCTCTTGGCCATGGCACACCACCCACCATCTCCCGTTGTCTGTTCACAGTTGGTGAGAATAGCCAAGGTGTTGGGAACCGAAGATCTATACGACTATATTGACAAATACAACATTGAGCTTGACCCCCGTTTCAACGATATCTTGGGCAGGTAGGAGGAAATTGGTAGGGTAAAACAAGGAGGCCAGCCCACGTTCCACAAATTGTGTGTGGAAGGGAGGGGAGTGGAAACGGCACAGATATGTTATAGTTCGGGACATCTGTATCTGTGTGGTTTTCAGCACCTTTGAAAATGCCAAACTTTGTGGATAGTAGTTGAAGTAGGGTTGTCTAAGGGATCAAATGGTCACTGCAAATTTTGGCAAATATTCTGTCTTCCTTTGGGGTGTTGCTTATATTTATTTGCATCAGTAGAGCAACACTGTGGAGAAATTACTCTAAGGGGCTTTGCATGGTAGCTCAAGTGTTACCAAAAAGGAATAAGCTGGATACCTTGTTCTCCTTCCCATACACAAGGGTGACAGCTGAGGTGAAGAAACATTTGTGTGCCTATCAGAGGTGAAACACGATATGTTTGGTTGCATTTGTTCCCTCTCTCACAGGCACTCACGAAAACGATGGGAACGTTTTGTCCACAGTGAGAATCAGCACTTGGTCAGTCCTGAAGCCTTAGATTTCCTAGACAAGTTGTTGCGATACGATCACCAGTCCCGACTCACCGCAAGAGAAGCCATGGAGCACCCTTACTTCTGTGAGTCTGACCCTCCAGGCCCCCAGCAAGGCGTCCTTCCAAGGGATAGTGATCTGGAGGATGGGGGGAGGCAGGAAATAGTACATCTTGGTGTGCTTTCAGAATAATCCTTGAGCCCAGCATCCCAGATGCTGCACCAGGCGACTTACTCCTTCTTACGACGACAGGGTTGGGTCCTTTTCTTCTAACAAGTTAACGTTGGCCAAATACTGTAACATCTGAAATCAGACCTGGAGTTAATTGCAGAGATAGATAAAAATAAGCTCTGTAGTGTGAGACTTAAGGGTTGGATGGGGAGGAACCAGATCTAGTAATCCTAGAAAGACTTAAGTGGCTGTGGATTTGGGGGCCACCTGGATCTGGAGGCGTTCCATGTTTGATTCTGGATGGGGTCACATTGTCCTAGACAGAGCCAGTGTACAGTTTGGAGGTCCGCCTAGACTCATGGCTCCTAGTGAAGAGCAGATGGCAGCTGTGGATAGGATGATTTTGCACAAACGTAGCTTAGGCACCAGTTACGCCCATTCCTGGATTGGAAGGCCCTGCTCGTCTCTTGTCTGGATTACTCCGAAGCCCTCTACATGGGGCTGCTCTTGAGGACCGCTTGGAAGCTGCAACTGGTCCATAACGTGATACCTCGTTATGCCCATATAATGTTGCTGCTGCTCTGCAGGCTTCCCTGGTGGCCAGTGGCCCTCCAGGTGCAGTTCAAGGGGCTGAGGGTCACCTGCCAAGCTTCCATGGCCACGGGGGCTGGCTTTGTGAGGGACTGCCCACTCCAGGCGCTTCTGCCTGTTTGATAAGACTGCCACTCACCCCGAACCACACTGAGTGCCCCAAGCAAGGTCTAGGTGTAAATTTCAGAAACCAGTACATTCTCAGGCCTCTGAAATGGTGCCCAACTGATTTCTGAAGTTCTTGTCAGCGTTTCAAGTTCTCTGGCATAGGCAGCGGTGTCTGTTTTAAAACTGAAGACTCCGGGTTGTGTCTTCTGTAGCCCCAACCGTTTGAAAAGCAGAAATGCTGGGGGATTTTTACACTTTTCTTCAGTGAAGGCCTCCTAAATGGGTTAGGCTACAGGATCAACTATTGTCGCCGAGCTGGCTAAGGATGTTGGGATTTGTAGTCCAGCACATTTGGAGGGCTCTGGGCTATTGAAGGCTGCACTAAGTAGCTTCTTTGAGTCGTGTGCCTGGCGTTTCTAGCTAAGCAGGTGGAATGCCCATTGCATTAAGCTTACTCAGCTCCCCCCCCCCCCCCCCCCCCC